AAAAAAAAATGAAAGTTCCATGTTAAGAGAGATCGACGATGTTCATGGAACACTGAATGAAACAGACGAGTGAGAGCTTGAAGCAGAAAGGATGAGCTAAGTAGAGTTGTTGAAACAACTGTAAGATAGGCGCGAATGATACAAAATCGTCGATTATCTTTCTCTGCTCGATGAAATTGTGTAAAGACGACCATGGCGACTTGAAGAAATATTGTAAATGAATAGAATAAACTAATAAGGCATGTATTACAGATAAAAAGATTCGACAATGTTCTCAATTTCTTAACGGTCAGAATGAGATAAAAGATGACGACAGAAATTGTCAGTACAACTAGAAAAGACACCGCATAAACAGAATAGATGAGAACAGCCGAGAAGATTGAAGGAGCTGTTTCGGTACTGTTGTAAGGACTGTAAATAAACATCGTGTGTGTTGAATCAGAATTGTTTATTCCTCTTGTGCGCAGTACCTAACAATGACTGAGTATAAAAAAGTACCAATTACTCTTTCAGAAGATTATATTTTATACTTACTATGTCTGATGGAAATGGTAATAGAAATAGTAGCTCTTCGTCTTTTATTCTCTTTTCTTGTTTCTAAACACATATAGTGTAAGTATGGAATATATTATCTTCTACTCATTAAAGAGAAATATGACACGCATCATTCTTTTTTTTTTCTTTCTCGCTGTTTTTTTTTCATTTCTTCTTCTTCATTGCTTTTATCATTTTTACTTTTACTAATGATGGTAAAGGAAGGACTACTCACAGCAGAGGCATGTGCATGCATAACAAATTAGTTTTTTTTGTAACTATCATAAATATTATATATCCGCAATTAATGTACTTTTCAAGAGATAAAAGTGAATTTATATATGTTTCATGACGAGAAATAAAAGATGAGGGCAAAACAAAGTCCTCTTAAAGTTCACAATTGATTTTAAGTTTATTTGATCTATTTGCATATTTTTTATTTCTTCAATTATATTTTTCATAACAACTATATGTATCAACATACTTATATAAAAAAAATTAATCAATCGCAACAATCGTTATTTGAAAATTCATCGTACTGCTGATAGAAACAAGACTAAAAAATATATTTCTTTGAGTTAAAAAACTAATTAATGCGTTGGATAGTAATATATACTAGAAAGAAAAAGAATAAATCTGCTATGTACGAGAACCAGTTGTTATTCGATCGATCACACATATTAGGTACGCAAAGTAACAAACATATCACTATAAAGAAGAAAATGTGCGTAATTGAGATAAATATAGTTACTTCGACCCCAATTAAGAGCTGTCAGACATGCTATAATCCCGTGTAACACATTTCTTAAAGAGAGTCTCATGTGATACACCGATTTTATATTTTTATTTTTTCTGGAATCATATAGAATGCTTCATAAATATTAAGATTTGACACGAATGTTCTTTTTTTGACACTTTGCAATGTGATATAATTGAGGATTATCTTCTCGTTGTAAAGTAACGATATAAGCTTGAGAATATAATTATAGATTTTTTTCAATTAAATTATAAAATATTTCATTACTTTATCAAGTCGCTTAAGATCATAATTAATCATTTTCTTTTACAAGCGCTATAATCTCTACTATTATTTGTTAGATATTGTTCTCTCCATACTCTTCTTTTAATTATCCCCATACATCTTCGATCGTGTGATGAATATCAAAATAAGCACACGCATCTTAGAATAAATTGTGATGTTCATTTATGATAAGCGTTAATGCACTGTTAATGTGACAATTAATTGACTTCCTATTTAGCCAATTTTAGAAACAATGACCTTCATAGTGCATTTTTATTCATATTAGATCTAATGGCGTAATTAAGTAATATTATAACTAATTTCATGCATTATATTGAAATAATAATCGATAACATACAGAAATACATCATAATAGGTGATATATATATATATAAGATCAACATGATACAGAATTTCGTTAATCTTCATCACATCTTGAGGGTGTGAATGTCTTTCTTTTAATTTAGCAACGTCCAGATTCACATCCATAATCCTTTCGTCGATGGTATTATCATAATTAATACATATATTAACAAGATTTTATCTTTTTATAGTTAAGTAGTGTATTATTTGACAATATTTTGTCGATGTCAAAATTGTATTCAAGGCAAAGTTTTAGTTCCGTGAAGAAAAAAAGCAAAAGATAGTTTGCCACGTAGACTCTTTACGTAGATGTTTTACCTTGTATTTATGAAAAATTGAGACGAAAAAAAACTCTAACATTCATCATATATGTAACGTCATTTGAGTTCATTTTCGTCCAAACCAGTTGTTCTCCTTCTTGATGTTGATGCTGATTCAAATTTGATGATCAGTTATTTTCAGCAAAGAGTCAATACGTTGTCAAATGATTGTATTATTGAACGTCAATGGTTTGAATCAATATTATCGAATGTAAGACAACAATGATAATTATGTATATCTTGTAAAATCAGCTTCGTTTATCGAGCAAATCGATGAATTAGCAAATAAAAATGGTGATTTCCATTCATTTTTTACTTATCAGTATACGTTTGATTTCAATCACGCTCCTGATGAAGAATCTGGACTTTTCTTTCACGAAGAATGACTTACTAAATTTTGAGAGATTCTTTTAATTCATTTCTTACATTAGCCAATGTCGAATTATCATGTCGGAGTATTTTATTGCAGACACCACATTTTGCTTGATTTCATTTCATATTTAAGTTAAATTTCAAATCTTGAACGATCCGATATAGGTATGAAATAAGTAATTGATAGATTATGCGTTGATTATCACTTTCAATTGGATATAATCGAAGAATTTATTCAAACATATTCATCAGAGAAAGTAATTGGATGGTGTATGAAAGACTCAATCTATTTTAGTCACGTTAATCGCACAATTATTCGTGATGTCAAACAAAGTCTTATTTCATAACATTATAATTGAGAAGCAGAGTGAGACCTTTTTTTTACCAATGAATGTTTATCGTAGTCAAAAGATTTCAAAACAAGAACTTCAGTCATGGCAATCTAACATTGGTTCTATCATCACAATGACATCTAATATATTTAGAGAAACATTTGACAATGATGATAATGCTGGTGAAGCTACATTATTCACGATTTGGGTGGATAAAATCATAGCACCAAAAGCTATTTTTGCTTATTTGTGTCATGCTGATTGTGAGCTGGACGATTAAGAAATTCTGCTCTCTCTACGAACATTATTTCGTATTGATAAAGTCAAATACGAAGACTATGACGAAACATGGTACATCAATGTGACAGTTGTTGATGAGATTAATGAAGAGGTACAAAAAGTCACCGCATCGTGGAAAACATCAGTTTTAAAATATAATGATTCTTCTCAATCTAGAAATAATTCACTTGCCTATGTATGTAATTTGCCGGCAGATAATGGAGATGTTCTTTCATTTCAACTCTCACTTCATATAATACTTCGCTTAGATCGAAATGATTTTGCGCGTCAAGGAATGCTTTCAATATGTCGAGCAAGATGCAACAAAATGGTATACAGCCGATAGTTTTCTTTGTCGACTTCTTTATGAAGTTCCTTGTGCTGAAACTATTGATTCTATATTTAAACTACCTTATTTTATTCAAGATCTTCATAATCAACTGGTTCTTTTGCAAGTCGATTATTTGAAAAGATTACAAAGATACAACTCTCCAAATTTAAAATTGTATCGTGATCAGGTTATGACATGGAAAGATTTTGAAAATAAAATTCGTGCTAGTAAAGGAAGTTTTATATTAATGAATAGTTTTCTATCAACTATAACAGACTACTACGTAGCATGGGCGTTCGCTAGCGATGGCAATGCTCAAAATCCACAAGTTCATGTATTCGTATTATAAGAAATTACAGTTGATACCCGATTGTCCCATTCAGTACCATTTACTGAAATTGGTGATCAGAATAATTTTAAAGATGAAACTGAGCTGCTCTTCTCAATGGGAGCTATTGTTCGTACTGGAGACACTCGTGAAGAGCATGGATGTTTATGAACCGTGAAATTAACTCTAACTACCAATGAAGATGAACGATGGAATGTTTTAACTGAACATTGACAACTAGCAGAAGGAACATTTGATCAAACGGGTGAAAAAGTATTGATGATTGGTGTTAGAAATGAAGAGATTATTATCATCCCAATCCCTACGAGTATAAAACAAAGAAGAAACCGTAGTTTTGATAACTACCGTTACTCGAAGCATGAGTTTCGTCGATCAGATTAGCCTGAATCTTTCCAAATATGAATGGATCGACGATCTGAACATCCAGCCTTTCAACCTATACACAAAGTGATTTAGTTTCATTGATTATTTGATTCTATGATTCTTTTCTTAAGCTGCAATTAGCAATCTCGATGAACTATAAAGCCCGATTGACATGTACTGGTTTTGTAGGGTGGGTGTAGATACCTATTCTTTACTCACTCACACCCACCCGCGCTCTCGGGTATTGATCTGGATGTGAATGA